TATCACTTGATTTATGTGTACATTTGGAATTTGTATCTTCACGCATCCGTAGGTTTGTATGTTTATATATAACACGTAGCATACTACAGATGTATGTACGCATTTATGGTACGCATTTATGGTACGAATTTATGGTACGCATTTATGGTACGAATTTATGGTACGCATTTATGGTACGCATTTATGGTACGCATTTAAGGTACGCATTTATGGTACGCATTTATGGTACGCATATATCGTACGCATGTATAGCTACATGTATAATGCGCACATTTTATCTTTATATATTTATATATGCGTACCTACACGTAGCATAAGGCTGGTAGGAAAAGGTGTACCATTCATGCACGCGAATCCATTTTCACCTGTACACTTCGGATAACTCTCATTTGTATGGAATGCATCGCCACATGCTAAGAATTGAATGAAAGGGTAGAAGCTTGTAGGCCCCCTCTAGGTCATATCCCATAGTGTGAACTTTTATCTTCGCACAGCGCGCTGTATACCTTTACGTAACTATACCCATTGTTCACGCAAGAGTACATGTGGTGCACTGGTACTGTACGTGTATATATGCACATATGCGAGTACTTAATATACACGCACCCCATACGTATACTATGGTATGTACATGTTTTTCTAACAGAGGTAATAAATGTACTAGTACCACCTCGCTATTATTATCTTTTATAAAATTATCACATGGCATAATGATACTTCACCCTTGTTTATAACATTTATAAATCTATGTGTGTCATAAATGAGAAAGCTGTAAAAGAAGTAATATCAGTTAAAAAAAAAAAAATGTACCTTCATTTTAAATCTATAAATCTTTAACAAGTTAGTTTTAATATCACCTTTATCTTCTCACAAGTATATTTATACATTCATATCTACATCGTGGTATCATCCTCCCCTCCCCCTCAAAAAAAAAAAAAAAACATTTACACAATTCAAGTTTATGTAATACAATATGTATTCATATTTGTGATGTATGTATATGTATACCCACACGTTCGTACCTGCGTTTTTTCCATCAGTTACCAACGCGTAAGATGCGATTTATAACTTTATATCTTTAAAGCCCTCCCCCATGCTTTCGCCGTGTGGAGGAATGTACACGTGAGCGTACGTAGGTAAGCTCATGCGTACACGTACTCGGCGCTGGAGCATACATCCGAATAAACGTGCTACGGTCAAGTTAGTAATCGTTTGCCTCGCCCACTCCGCTGGTCACAAAAGTACACGTACACATATGTATGTATATATATATACAGTCACATACCCACCTCACATTGGTGCCCCCCGTGAAAGTTAAACAAAAATGAAACGCACGTCGAATACATAATAGTTTACCCTTTTCATCCCTCCCCATTTTGAACAGTTAATAGTAAAATTTATCAGCTGTGTGTAAGAAGTGCTCGTACAGGTGCATATGTACGTGTATGTACGTACAGTTTGTTTTACTTTTTTTTAAAAACCATTAGTATGTTTCACTTTTTAAATTAACAGGGTAGGTAAGAAATCAATAAAAAGGATTACACCTTCGTGCTGCATCCCTCACCACAAACACACGTATGTTAAAATGTGCGCGTACACACACGAGCGTACGGAGGCATTACACGTGTAGCATATATGCGTACATGTGTGTATGACTGTGTATATATATGTATATCTACATATATATATACCTACTCTCTGCTCGTACATCCAGTGCTTATATACAAAGTACGCAGGGGTATATATATGTAAACTCCGTAGTGCTCTCATTTTCACGTACCAACTTAAGGACGTTTGCCCCTTTTTCAATATGATAATATAAAGTGAGTTCTCTTCCATTGCACATACCTTTTGGTAGATGCACATGCATCTATAAATGTTTGTCTGTGGAAACATGTGTGCCTATACCTGAGCGTATGTATAGATATGTGCATACGTGATTGTATACAGATCGTTGCAAAAAAAAAAAAAAAACAAAAACAAAAGGTCTGTATACATTCACACGTACCCAACGCGCATATACGTATACCAGCCAAGGATCGAGCGACCCCCCCGCGAGAACTTGTGCCAGAGCATACGTGAGGATATGCATTTGTGCAAGAGCGCACATATAGAAAAAAATAATAAAATAAAGAAGTCACAGCATTGCTACAATATTGTGGATCTTGCATACGTGGCAAAAAAAAAAAATACTACAAAATATAGTAGAATAACGCATACATGTGTGTAAAAATAATTAAGAAATCCTTTGCGAAGAATAATGAATGCCATATTGAACACACTTCCGAAATAATTACATATGCCCTTTTCATTGTCTTTTTGTTTATTGAATTTTTTTAATCATTTGTTAATGTTTATTTTAATAACAAATGCATTTTATCAACTGAATTAAAACATGAGCAAGTAAATATAAAATATGCCTTCTTTACCCTCTTCACCCTAATTTTTTTTTTAAAAATTTTTTTTTTTTTTTTTTTTTTTGCTAGTTTTTGTCTATCATAGCACTTTTTATGCCTGTAAGAGAAATTTTAATTCATTTTTCAAATGTCCCTACACGTTTTACATGTTTACAGTTTTTAATTTTTTTTATTTCGTATATGTATATATGATTAATAGCAAAAATGCTAAGTATTTAAATTAAGTTTAAGTTTTATTTTTCCTCAACCCCCCCATTTTATGAGCGCATATAAACATTGTCATATGATGTAGATTGGGCGTGATCTCCTTCACCCCCCTCCCCCCGCTTTGTGCATACATCCGAATGGACATGTATAGGTATATTTATATGTGAATATGTACAAGGGGGAGTGGCGGCACGTGTGTGTTCGCGCGTGTATGTGCTTCTGCCCGTGCGTGTGTGTGCATGTGTACACGTACATACCATCGCGCATACACAGGTATGTACAAAGACACATACATGTTAGCACTGGTATTCCCCCACGCGCACGTGCAGGCGTATCGGTGGTAAAGGAAAAAGCCCTCCCGTTTTGTAAATGACAACAAAGAAACGTTTATTTTTATGTAAAGTGACTGGCCGCAATTTGTGGATGTGAAATTGTTAAGCAAATGCAGTAATGTTCTAGGAGCAAAACCGTTGTATGTATGCTTTAATCATTTATTTATTCCTTTAATGTGTATACTTTGTCGATTTGTATGTTAATATGTGGTCATTTTTTTTTTTTTTAAATAATTATATTTTTTATGAATACTTTGATTGCTTTGCTTGCATGCCATTGAATGTTTGAGCTGCTGTCTATTTGTACCTCTCTATACTTGTACTATCTTATATTTGGATCGCTCTATATTTTTATCGCTTCACATTTGTACGAAGCTACATTTGTTCCATTTTATTATCTCTTTTTTTGAATTCGTCCATTTTGTTATAATACTAATACGTATTACGTTCTAATTCTCTCGGAGAATTTTCATAATTCTCCACGATTTCATTATTTTATAATTTCACTATTTTATTTTTTTTTTTTTTGCGTTAAATTGGATAAGTAGAAAAATGCAATTTTTTGTCATCTTTTATAACGTCTCAGTATCTTAGTGGAGTGAACACTTCCACCTTTATAAATGTGTGCATGTGCCCGTCGCCATTCGCTATGATGTTTCATGCATATGCACTCGCACCACTTTTAATTTACAACGAGGTATATCTCCAGATTGGTAGTTCCCATCCGAAAAAAAAAAAAAAAATACGTGTTATGAGCTTTTGCATATTATTGCGGAGTGCTTATTGGAAAATTGACGTGATTCTGTCTATCCTTACCGTGTGTGAGTGCGTTTATGAAAAATAACCCGACGGAGGAGCAAATCCTTACCTTTTCCACCCTTTTTTTTTCTACCTTTTTTTTCGATCCCTTGGAAGACTTACATGCATACGCATATGTTGCCCATGACCTCTGTTTTACGCTTCACTTGTTAATATGCTTTTAATTGGTACACTTCAAAGGTAGCTTACCTTCTGAAGTGGCCTCAATATCCCCCCATAATTTCTTGTGCACATGTATGTGCGCAGAACAATTGATCTCAGGGGTGATATTTACTCTTCCCACCATATGTACAGATTTTCATTTGCTTCGTTTGTTGTTGCTCCCTTTTCTCTTTTTTTTTGAAAACTGAGTGTATTTGTATGTGATGGTTATTATGGCTTTATGAATTAACGATATTTTTAATCATTTGTCCAGTTATCTGTTACTTCGTGAGACTCCCGACATAGGAATGTATAAGCGCAGTCTCGTAGACACTGCAGAAGGACAGCATTATTTTGTGCTTTTGCTCCTTTGCCATTTTGTTGATGTGCCTTGATTATATTTACCTGCATTTTCACTCCAACGTTAAGTTATTTTTCCGTTTGGTCACCGATCGTTGAGCGATTTAAAAGCTCTATGATTGTGCATAATTGAAATTATCCTTTATTTATCCAAGTTTCTAATGCCCCTTTCTGTGGCCACCCAATGTGCTCACTCCGTACATGTACTTATATATCATCAAAAAGGGTAGTTTATATTTTTTTTATTTCTTTTTGAAATTTTCATTTTAAATGTGACTGATAGATAGCGTAGCCATTTTTTTTTTCATTTTTATTGATGTGAAAAAGGTGGTGGGTTTGGGTGCTATAAACTCTATTTTTCATGAAGATTGACGAGAATTTGTTCTCCGTTCGTATAAATTGTATGTGCAAAACGAAGGCAGCGTTACATCTAGGTTTATGTCGTAGAGTGCGTTGGTTACCTTTATGCATTGGGGATAATCTAATAGTGACCTTGTAGAAAGGTGTCTGTGCATTTCCTGTGAAACAAACCCGCTTCACCCCCCCCGATCCATGCGCCATTAGATAAGACTCCAAGGTGATACACTCTGAATTAGTAGAAAAAAAAAAAAAGTACAAATCGATTCGCAATAGAGTCCAGATTATGATCTCGAAATTAACAAATTGAACAACTTTTTTATTTTTGTTAAGCGAAAAACCATTTAATTATTACCCAGTTATGAAGATGGACGCGGACTACAGAAGTGAACAGCCGAATGTACCCCAACTTGTGAGGCAGATGGACTTGAATAACGTACCGCTGAAGGGAAGCAACAAAGACAAGAAAGATAAAAAGGATAAAACGGAAAGGACGGATAAGAAAGAAAATAAGGAAAATAAGGAAAACAAGGAAAAGAAGGAAAAGAAAGAAAAGAGAAAAACAAAATCCAAGACGGCTAGTCAACAAATGGACACTGAAAATGTCAACTTGTACAATTCACAGCGTGGAGGTCTCTCCCTAGACAATTGTAAATTTATCGCTAGTGACGTATCTAGAATGACGAATGAAGTGAATAAAAGTGCAGTCATGGATAGTAGCAATCCTTACAGGTGTAATATCGCTGCAACCTTTGCTAATAAGAATAACGAAAGCAACGGAGAAAATACTCTTATGCGCGATGTCCAACTTGGTAAAAACAATTTTGTCAACCAGACGGTGTGCAATGTGGAAGAAACGAAAGAGGAAACACCTTTTAGTGGAGCCTGTCTCATTCGAAACTTCAATAGCACGATGGAACGTCCTGGTTACTCACTACTGAATAACTCACTTGGGGGAAAGAATAACTTCAAGGAGAATATATCTGCCGGAGCCAGCATGAGTACCATTATAAGCGACTGCTACAGTGGAGGAGTAAACAGAAGGGGCAGTGCAATAAACGCGGGTGATAATTGCAACTACCGTGAGGGTGGCGGGCTCTACCTTCCTACAAGCGGAGGTAACCCCAGCTGCAACCTCGTAAGTGGTGTGAACAGCATGCACAATTTGAACAGTGGGATCCCTGCGAGTGAGCACCGACACACTGGCTTTAACTCCTACGCGGACGGTGTGTACGAAGGTGTAAGTACAACGAGCAGCAATGTGAAATGTTCTTCATGGAAAAGTATAGCCCAAATGAGCAATACTAATATGGTAGGTTTAACCAAAAGGGGCGAAACTAGCAATGCGAATAGTGCACCCATGCAAGATGGTAGCTCCAAGAAGAAAACGAAAACTGTGGACGATTTAGGAAATGAAGAAGTCGCCATAAAACCTGAAAAGCTATTTGCAAATTTTAAAAGATTAAATGTGGACGAAATGAGAAAGGACGATGATGTGGTGAGGGAGAAGAACACTATGGAATTGTTGCATTATGACAATCTCAGTTTTAATGATGGTATGTGTAATCTTTTGGGTAGGGGGACCAATCATTATGCTAAGTCTGTCCAGGACAATTGTGGCATTATTACTCCCACGGTGACGACGACAATGACTCCTATGATGACCGGCACGAGCAACTCAGCCAATGGTAATCGCAACAGAATGAAGAATAATGTAGCTGTTACTCAATCTGAGAGTGTTGCTACACCCCGGGGGGATGATCTCCACCTTGCTGATGCTATGAGCAATAACACAAGCTATGAAGATTACACAAAAATGTCTTCCAGTGTCACATGTGACCAAACGAGCGATTTGAAAAAGTATATACTACCCCCCATAACTAGCAACAGTAAGGGGAACGGGAAAGGAAGCCTTTACACTCCCTTTTTGAGTAATAACCAGCATGAAAAAGTTTTAAATGGGAACGCCTGGGAAGGTGCGTCTAATTATATCCCCAAGGAGAATGTAGAGGATGGCCCCGTCAGTAGTGGAGCTTATGCCAACGTGGGTAACGACAGCCGTGTCATTGATGAAAAGAAATTTAAGGGCAAAAATTTAATCAAAGGGCAAATTTTGAACTACACTAGCCATGCGCAACATGATAATCAGGTTCAACATGGCAGTCATGCCGTTGAATCCAGTCAAGTTAGTTACAACCAGAGCGCATTCGACACGTCCAAAGTGTCACTCCCGATGATGGGGCAACAGAAGAATGGAGAAAAAAACCAGAGTGAAGATTTAAAGTTCATTAAAAAAGACCGCTTCTTCTTTCGCAATGGTGATAGCCTCTTCAAGGGAGATATGCATGACGAGCTTCCCGAATTGGTCAACCCAAATTTTAAAGGCGCAAACGCGTGCTCAGGGAAGAATGTGAAAAGTGTAAAAAATGTGAAGCCTGGCTATATGGCCACCGACAGCACCCTATACACGGCCAATAATTTTCTTATTAAGAACAAAAATGGAGGGGAAGAAGATGATGACCTGGACGAGAACGGCCAGTACTTTAACAATGAAAATTCGGATCATTTGAGCCGACGCTGTGGGGATGGAGCTACTGGTCCGTTTAACTTCGAAAGTGAGGCGTATAAAAACTGTGAAAGCGTTATAGGACCTTACAATTACGATGAGGAGATGCATCTCAATTATGAGGATGACCTGCAACTGAACTATGACGATGATCTCTTGAGTAAGAACCCGCTGCATCTGGACATGGAGCATCTGAACGTGGAGCATCTGGACGTGGAGCATCTGGAAATGAAGCATGATGACATTGGAAATGCGAGTTATTTCGAAAAGAGCTACGATTTTGAAGAGAACGTGGCGCAGCTGGAGAAAGATTTAGACTTTTCTGCTAACCTAAGCAGCATGAGTAAAGATATGTCCTTCCTAAACTTTGACGACTCGGAAGAAAAAGATTGGAAGTACGAATACATGAATGAGATATTTTCCGCTAAGGGGAATCCCTACTTGGGTAGCGACGACCCGCATTCCTTTTACGGAAGAGGCACCTTAAGAAACTCCCTTCATTTCAACCACGGTATCGGTAGCAGCCGTTACAACCTCGGTGCAGGCAGAAGCTTTGGGCTTAGCGCTTGTAGTACCGTTTTCCCTAGCCCCGTTTATAGTACACCCACAAATTGGGACGAAAAGTCAAGTTTTGCCGCAGCGGTTCAGAGTAGCAATCAGTGCTCTGATGGCATGAGAAAGAATGTAAATAATAATATGCTCTTTGTGGATAACAGTAATTTAAGTATGCATTGGGGGAATGCCCATTCTGGGAAACTCGAAAAGTGTGCAAATGTGGACAGCGCATGTGGAAGAAATAACGACACTATTAATAGCCACTTAATATGCGAGGAAAATAACGTCTGCCATAATGACCACACACTGATGGATGAAAATCATTTGGGACTGCCCCATGACGATCATTCACTTGAGAATAATAGCACCAGCTTGGGCAACAGCAAGAATCTAATACACAGCGTTTGTATGAATATGACTTCTCCTAGCGCGAGTGAAAGCATCTTTGCGTGTAGCAAATGTAAAGGTGTACACAGAAGGAATGAGCTGGAGGATGAAACTGGTTCTGTTTTGCATGCCGACGGAGAGCATATGGAGAAGAAGCACTCCCGCGGCAGTTATTGCAGCGCAATGACGAAAAAGGGCGCAGAGTTGGGCGGCAAAAAATGTGGAATCGTACATTCATCTGGTATAAGCCGAAAAGTTAGTATGAACAGGCAAGGGGTCAATGATAACACCTTCGAAGACAGCACCCAAAGGGGGGGTAGCAGTGCCAAGGGGAATGAACAGACCAACCCGGATGGCCATATCAGCGCTGATGCTACAGGTGAGTCGCTAACGGGGAAGTGCAGAAAAAATTACAACAGAGGTATTAGTAACAACAAGAGCAGCGTCACAGTGGTCGGAATAGTGCAAAGCAGTCGGCCAAGGGAAAGCGCAACGGATCAGAGGAGCGTACGAAATTTTAGTACAAATGATCCGATTACCAGCATAAGCAGCAGCGAACATGTGCAACTAAAGAATGCCAGTATTTTTAGCAACGACAGCACCAATAGCACCAGCAGGAGCAGGAGCGACGGAAGCAATAGAAACAATCGAAGCAACAGAAGCAATCCAAGCAATGGTAGCAATAGAAGTAATCGAACCTGCAGGGATGATCCCATCAATAGTAATGGCCGAAACCAAAGCAGTATTAACCCCGTGGTGAGTGAGATGAACAAAAATGACAATCAGAACAACGGCCTGGTGAACGCAGGATATAGGAACAAGCTTATCTTGGCACAGCATAACTCGCAACCGTTGAGTTATGAGCACATCAAAAGTGACAACTACACGTTTAAAAGCGAAATGGTATCTAATGACAAATCGAAAAGTAATGCCTTCTCAAATTTTGCCTCCACGAATTTGGCTAATACGAATTCCAATGGCTGCACAAATAACGTCCTTCTGAATAGTAGATTTAACGAGCACGGAAAGGACAAAAATAATGTGATGAAATATTTCCAATCGGGGCTCAAAGACGGTAGTACAAATGTTAGCACTACTCAGTATGATAACAACAGTTTAATAGTCAACCGGAACACCTTTGATTCGCACCCATGTGCAAGTCATTTGAACAGCGCCAACGCCTTGAATTTAAATCCTACTTTTCTGAACCCATCCACCTGTAACAACGCCGTGTATCATGCGATCAACGAGAAGAACGAGTCCTTCTTCCTACTCATTACTAACAACCCATTAGAAGGTACGCAGAGAATAAACTTGTTGATATCTGAAAAGGGCAAAATCGATATAGGCGGTAGTCCCCTTTTGACCTTTAACAAACAAAATCTAAGAAGTGGCCACTCTCTAAAGAATGACCAGTTAGGGGCCATTCAGGGTAGTATGAGTAGCAAACCGAATGACGATATGTTTCATCTGAGCGGCGAGGTGGACAACTTTGGGGGGGATAACCAATCCGGGATGTACCGCCATCCTATGGATCCAGGCGAAAATGTCTATCGATCCATGTCTAATCAAAACGTCTATCTTGATATGAACAAGCTGGAGAATGGGATCTATAAAAATGGGACGAACCTGGAAAACCTCGTTGATCAGGTGAATAACCCTAATGACAGATGCTCCTATCACGGCAACATAAAAAGCCTTCACGGGGATGACAATACTGCTAATGTCAACCTTATCGGGAAGAATGAATACCTGTTTAGAAATATTGAGGAGGATATACATAACGAGGTGAACCATGTACAGGAGGGGGAAGTGAAGTACGGCTCCTTGAGCGGTGCTCTACACAGCGGAGCTAGCATCGGGGTGGGCATGATCATCCCCCCTGGCCTGGTCCCTACCAACTGCCCCTACAACAACGCGAAAATCTGCGATAACCTAGTGAGCAGCGATCACTTGAATAACTTAGCCGACAGCATGAACCGATTCGGAAACGACGTCGATTTTATTCTGGACGAAAATGAAGACTTGGAGATCCATTCCAAAGCGAGCCTCAAAGATGACAAAATTATTGAACTGCAAAACATAATAAACAGTCTCAAGTTTAAGAACAAGCAGCTGGAAAAGGAACTGACCGAGGTGAAAAATATGCAACTGAAGAAAAAACAAAATCTGATATTAAATAGTCTAAGTAATAAGAATGACGACATTAGTAGTTACTCAACTTATAAGGACGATACGAATAACTCCGATTGTGGAAGTGCAGACAATGCGAACAGATACATTCAGAACATTTTAAATGATAAGGAGAAGTACAATTACGACACGAAGATTTCCATACAGAAGTTTCATTTGGCTTATACAAATAACTCAATAGGCAAATTGAAAATAGCTGCTCAGAGAGACATTAGTGGCTCCTTTATGGGCCCCAAGGGCATACACGTGAAAACGATTAAATCGTCTCTTCACATTTCAGTGTACAAAAGTGCAAAGGATGTTTGGTTTCCAGGATTTGCTGACAGTCATGTGTTTTTATTGAAAGGAAATATTTTTGGTATTTTAAGAGCATGTCAATTGCTGTACCATTATGTGAAGTCCAAAATGTCGTCTTCCAAATGCTGCATATATTTGGTCGCTCCGTTTGAGTGTGTACAGAAGTTACTGGCCGATGGGTGCAAGCGAATGGCAATAATTAAGGAGGAGTGCGGGGCGGACGTACGATTGGGCAATTTGTACGTACAGGTGCATGAGGGCTTTACAGAGCGCTTAATGGAGATACGGGGAAATGAGGTCAGTGTGGACTGCGCGTTGGAGAAGCTGGTGATTTTTATGCAGTCCTGCTTTTCGGTGCAGTCCTACGACTACGAGTTGTTGAAGTACCCATGCCGATCGGTGCTGAATTTGCAGTGAGGGATAGCAAGTACAATGTGGAGTATACTTTCCTTTGCGAAGAGGCAAAACGGGAGTAGGCTTTTTTTTCTTCTGAAAAGAAGAATGAGACTTTTCTCAACCGGCATAACCCAAATGTATCGCTTCTAGAGACCCTTTCAAAAGAGCGAGTAAAAGAAAGTGGGCATCCTTTTCCAGCATTTTTACTTTCATTTTCTATTTTATCGTTTTGGTGAAGGGGTCTATCTTTACGTGGGAACCTGAGCACGAGACAAATAGAAGAACCGTTGCGTGTATATTTTTCTCATATTTTATTTTTTATTTCTTCAGTGTAT